AGAGGGCCCGGGGAGGGGGGGGGCCCGGCCGGGCCGGGGGCTGCCCGGGGCCGCGGCTCATTTGCCTAATGGGATGCGGGTGAACTGCGGGTGAACCCGGCGGGGAAGGGCTCACCTCGGCCTGACCCCCGGCCGCCCCCCCGGGGGTGCGGGTGCCACCGTACGGGGAGGGGGAGCCGTGTGTGTGCGTGTGTGCGCACGTGTGTTCACGCATGTTCACGCGTGTGCATGTGTTCCCACTGCAGGACGGGGTCTGCGCTTGTTTGCGTCCCCACTGCAAGGGGGGGTACGTGTGTGTATGGGGGGGTGCAGCCTGTGTGCAGATACACGTGTGTGCTCGTACATGTGTGTGCATGCACTCTGCACACACATACATGTGTGGCACCATGTCCCTGCCAGGCACAGGAGCAGCTGAGCGTGTGCACACGTATGTGTCTGCGTGTCCCACTCTGTGTACACACACCCCCATGCACACGCGTGTTGTTTGCGTGTAGCCCAAGTGGGGCGGTGCCACATGCTCCCCCCTCCCCTGCCCATGCACGCATGTCCCCACGGGAGGTGACACCCCAAACCCAGGGCTCCTGCCCCCACAGACTGGCATCGCAGCAGGGCCCCGCTGCCCACACCCACGCTGGCACCGACACACGCCAAGGACGGTGGCCACAGGCCGGGCCACAGTGGCCACTTCCCTGACACACGGGTAACCTCCCGGCCACACAGTCTCACCCACCCACCCTCGCTTCCCGTGCCCCCAGCACAGCCCCCCCACAGCGGGCACGCAGGGTCCACTCTGCCTCACAGTGCCCCCTGATCCCCAAGTGGGGTCCTGCCGTGAGCAAGGGGCAGGAAGAGCACACGCGTGTGCACGGCAGGACACTGGTGGGACGATACAGGCACTGCCACACTCTCCAGCCCTGCACGGCCACACGCAGCAAGCGTGCATGAGCTGGGCACCTGTGTGTGTGTGCACATGTGTGTGCAGGCATGGCACTGTGCACACACACAGCAGTGCACATGTGAACACACGCACATGGCAGTACACACGCAGAGCAGTGTGCACACACACAGCAATGTGAACACACAGAGGCATGGCAGCGTACACACGCAGCAGTGTGAACTCAAACAGCTGTGTGCACACAAACATGGCAGCGTGCACACACGTGGCAGTGCACACAGCAGTGTGAACACACACATCAGTGTGAACACACACACAGCAGCATGCACATAGATGGCAGTTTGCACACATCCATGTGAACATGCACACGTCAGTGTGCACACACACATACATAGCAGCGTGCACACACGTGGCAGTGTGCACACACAGCAGTGTGAACACACACAGAGCAGTGTGCACACACATACATGGCAGTGTACACACACATCAGTGTGCACACACATACGTGGCAGTGTACACACACACACACAGCAGTTTGCACACACGGCAGTGTGAACACACACATGGCAGCGTGTGTACACCCACCCCAAAGCTGAGGACACCCTCTCACCGACGTGGCCACACACTCACGCACCCCCACCCCACACACGCTGGCCGCACACACCCCCCCAGCCCCAAAGTGAGCAGCCAGGGCCACCCCGCTTTTATTCCCAACCCACCCCCCGAGGAGAATTGTTGGGGAGGGGAAGGGGAGAAAAAACAAAAAACCCTACGAAAAAGGCCGGGAGGTATGTGTGTGCGTGTGCGTGTGTGCATGTGCGTGTGCGTGTGCGAGGAGCAGATCAGCAGCGCCTGTTTAAATAATAATAGAAAGTCAAAGGCTTTGCTTAGCCAGCAGGTTTCTGAACAAAAGCCCAGCGCTCCTCCAACTTCCTGCAGCGAACATGACAAATGTCTGCTTTGACTCATTTACCAGCGCTGGAAAGAATGTGGCTGCCTCGGACGGAGGGGATGGACGGACGGACAGAGGGGACGGACGGAGGGGACATGGGCCGGTGGCAGCGGGCGACCAGGCCATGCCATCATCCAACACTGCCCGGTGGCTCCCGTCCCACCGGGCACCCACCGCGTCCCGCCCCGCGCCGGCGGCAACAGGAAGAAACAGAGATTAAAACTAAACACTAACCCAAACCCCAAAGCTTTAACGTCGAAGCCAAGAGGAACTGGGCGAGGGGAGCGCCCCACGCGCAGCCAGGATGGGGACGCCCCCACCACACACCCTGGCCCACCCCCCCAGAATGTGTCGGACACCAAAATGGCCCCCCCCAACCTCAGCAGCCCCCCTATCCCCCTCCCAACCCCTCGCTTCCTCCCTCCCACCACCCCCGGGATGCCACGGGAAACACCAGATGCCCCCATGGGGATGATG